CTAATAATATTGGGAATCAAATTTGATTTTCCCAATATAATAGTTATTCGGCACTTCGTGCCGAATAACTATTAATTGTTTTAAACATGGTAGTTATTTTTGCCTGGAAATTAATAGTAGTTTAACGGATTATATTAAAGAACTTCAGACTCCTTTGAAAAGGTAATTTCAATGGTGGGAATGGGGAATTTTTTTTTCAAGTATATTAATAAAACGTTATTATTGTTTTTCTTTGTTTTTAGGTTGCATCTTTAGCACTTTGGCTTGAAGTGGTAAGAACGTTAATTCACTTTTTTTTTAGAATCCTCTTTCCAGGAATAGTGGATTTCCAAATTTTGTTTAAAAAAGCTTTATTTCGCAGTTTTAATACTGTAGTAACTAATAAAACAGTGTTAATTTTCTTAGTTTTTGAATAAGATAGCAATTAAATATTTAGTTAATTCTATCAGATGTTCTATTCTTTACTTAATAACATTCCTAATGAATGACTCCAGTATAATCCGAATGTATAAAAACAAATAATAAAATTCTGGAATCGTGTAAGTCCTTTTTGCGGTCATATCGATTTATTTAATGCATATTAACCACAATTATAGTATTCTAATTTCAAAAAAAAAAAAGTTTAAAATCAAGCAAAAAATAAAGAATTTAAAAGAGAAGTGTATAAGAATATAATAAAACAATATGCCTAAAATTATTAATACAAAAATAAAATAAATATATCGCTTATTTTTTTTAACATTAAAAAAGTAATTTGTCGAAAATTTCGTTTCATCCTAATTCTCGACGATAGTTATGAGAGGTGAGTTTGAGAAATCATCTGCAAAAATAAGGTCAACCCTCTTGTGAATGTCGTTTGAAACTCCTGATAACAAAAGGTTGCTCTATCGAAGCTCAGGATATAAAAAAAACGCCCGCCTGAAAGAAACACAGCGAAAACTTGGCGTAATGGCTGTTGTTGAAGAAGTACGCGGATATAGTCCAGCAGCTGGCCTTTATCCTCATCAGCTAAGCCGGATACCTGCTTTTGTTTCTTTATCTCAAATACCGTATGGGCGTACTTCGAGACAAATGCCCTTTCTTCAACATCATTGTTCTCGAAATCACTAATGTCTGGCATAAGTCCTTCAAGATCGCCATTCTTATGTGTGTCAACTGCTGATACTCCCTCCCATTAAGCTATATACTTCCATTAGCCCATTAAACCAAGTTTGTAACTCTCCCTCGGCCGATTTGCTAACTGGTTTCGGTTTTGTATCCAGATAACTTCGGACCGATTCGGAGATTTTTAATAATTTGTTGGTTGGACGAAGGAAGTATTCGACCGTAACTTGCTTAAAGTTTATACTTTTATAAACTTCCGATCGTGTTATTGAGTCTATGAATATAAAAATTGTCAAAATGAAAATATGCACTAGGATAATTCTACGATTTAACAATGTATTAACATTACGTGGTAACTCGCGTTTTCCTACATTATCCGGCCGTTTTTGTTGCTTAGATGATGTATTATCGTCTGTTTCTTCATCTAATTTCCTCATTTTTGACGAGGAAGCGAAGTCCGCTTCTCTGCTTCGTTTTTTAAACGGCGCTACGTTCGTAACATCTTTCAAAGTATTTTGTTTATCGTTTTCAGACCACATCTTACTTACCCTCTTAATATCAAATTTTGCAAAAGTGATCTAATGTAAGAAATAACTCAGATAATAAATTCAGACAAAACTAGGGCAGGATGGCTAAACATGAACTCATCAACCAACTTCTTTGATATGTATAAAGGAAGGTACATAACAGATCACTCATACAGGATCGTAGATCTTTCAAAAAAAGCTGTGTTGACGGTCCACACCTAATTCGGCTGCTTGACAGAGATGCAGGGCCTCACCTCTCCACGAGGACGAACCCAACAAAGAGCGAAGAGCCAGGTAAAAAGAAACTACCTGTTGCTACTTACAGAGGATGCAGTGCCCACCCTCGCTAGGACGAACCCTACAAGGGGCGCAAAAAGCCACCATACAGTCCATATTTACGCAAAATTAACTTACCTTCATTGTGCTTAGAAGCTTTTTAACCTTGTTGCGAACTTCTTTAGAACTCGAATCGACATTATTTTCATTTAAAGCATTGTAAAAGGCGTGGAAATCCTTATCTGTGATTATTGCAAAAAACAATGCAGGCTGAAAAATTTTCCAAAGACCTAAACTCGCCGGGAAAGAAATTAAAATATTTAGTTACAGAGGTAGACAACATGGTAATAGTGTAAAGAGATACAAAAGAAAAAAGTTAGAACGCGAGCACCTTTAAACGCAACACGACTTCTTATAGTCTGTTTGCCGCAGTGAAAACACGAACTCCTTGAATGACAAGCTTGACTTAAACACAACGCGAAGAAATAACCATGTTTTATTCAGCGGAGCAGATTTTGATAATACGAAATCATGCATGTTATTTCTTCACGTTGTGATTAAGTCATGCTTTGAGCATCAGAAGTCAAAATTTTGGTTTTGTGTATACATTTATATATATTTTTGATCTACCACCGATGCGATACATGTGTAACAGGAATACGTATCCGTTAATCATACGGAACGATCTGTATCATCGATATGAAAAATTAATAAAATACATTTAAAAACCAAGGTTTCTTTTATAAAAACTAGTACATAAAATGTATTTCCAAAAGCTTTATTGTATGTTTGTCAAATTAATGCAACATAGAATTTGAAGAAACTTTTTTTTTTATATTTTCTAATTATATTATATAAGAATATCTAGAATTTTTGAAACAACGATTTACTGTATATTGTTTACTGGATTGAATACCGAAATATTAACTTTAAGAATTATTTTATTTAAGTGTAGTGTTTTTGCAGTGATAATTTTGGTTATTTATCAACGCAAGCACAATAACGATATTATCGTGTGATTTTATGATGTTGACTTAAAATTATGAAGAGAAAGTTCATCATTCTCTTGGCGATAGGATGCGATCCTAGCATAAAATTTATAGTAATTTGAATTCGACTGACCGTATATTAGATTCTTTTAAATAAAATGAAAGACCACTTTTTTGAACCACGAAAAAAGGTACCTTTTTGTGTTATAAGTTTAAGAATATAAATTAACAAATTTTTATTTTAGACGAATTATACTTATGAAAAACTTACTGGAAAGAAATCTTAACAAACTTATTAATATATTCATAGAATAAGAGTTGCTTTATATTCAATAAAAAAGCAAGGTTTAATGCCTCCTCAATTAACAATTAATTATATACTAAAAAACTATTTTGAAATGTAATAACTTTTATTTGTAATGCATCTTCGATTATTTTGATTATTTTTATAAAATTATAGCTATAAATCTTAATTAAAAATAAAAAAATCCGAAATTAAGCAAAAAAAAAATAAATTTGCGGAAAGTGATAATTGTATATGTTCTATTCCACATAATTGAATTGATATCGCAAGAAAAATTTTTTTGAGATATTTATTAATTAGCACCTTTTATATTTAGTTCTTAAAATATTATAATACGATAACTAAAAATTTTAAATCTAACTAAAACTGAGCGAAGGGGATTTTTGAAAAATTTTATAGTTAGAAAAATATTCCATAATTACTATCTTTACACTTATATTATTTATTATATTGAAAATAGAAACAAGTTAATTGAAATTAATATGTATAATAATAATAAGTATTATTTATTGTATTATTTATTTACTTAAAATAAATTATCGTTATTATATACATAATATCACAAAAAATATTAAAAAAAAAGAACGTTTACATCATATGGGTGAGCACGAGAATTTAAAATATGGAATAAAATTTGCAAATTTACTATTTACTTCAATACAAATATTAGAAGAAAAAAAATAATATTGTTATAAACTATTATTAGATCAAATGATTATAATACTTGTGAATTTATTTAGGTAAGGCAAGTAATTTGAGAATATAAATATTATAATATATTTTAATCAATTTGTTATTTTATCGTTATATAAACTATTTTCCTTTCATTAATTCTAATACAAAATTCATAATAATGGAATACAATTCTAAAATACTTATATTTTATAATTTATTTATTAAAAAATGTAAGACAATAGGAAAATTCATTTTTATTAAATTCCAATAAAAATAGTAAATTAATAATAAATTATAAAATTTACTCTGTTATAAATTTGAATAGATATAAAATATTCATTATCTATTTATTATTTTTAAATAGTTTTTATTATTAATTGTTAATTATTTATTTATAAAAATGAATCAAATCTTTGATAAAAATATAAAAATGATCTTGTGAATATTTTTAAGATTATTTCTGCATTTATTTGCTTTTTTTACTTAATTTATTCTTTAATTATACTGATATTTAATAATTTTAATTGATTTAATTTTATATATCATAAATATCAAATTTGAGGTTCATATAGTATCTATTGTTACTATTTTATCAATTTTATTAACTTTTGTTAAAATATTTTATTGATTTTATTAATATTTATCAAACCTTTTATTTATTGATTTTTATCAATTCTTTTTTTTGAAAATTTGACTGATTGATTGATATAATTCAATTTAAGTTCTTTTATTCTTAGTATGTAAAAAAGAAAAAATTTTAAAAAGGTATTTTATTGTAAAAAAATAAAGTTTGAGTTGAAATTTTTTTTTAAAAAATAAATAATTAAGCTGTTTTATATAAATATTCTTAATATAAAGTAAATCAAAAATAATTTATCAAAAGATTTATTATAACTATATCAATAGAATTATTTTTAATTCTATTTTAGCAATATTTAATATTATTTTAATAAAGAAATGTTAATTTATAAGATACTAATTTTTATCAAATTGTATAATACTATTTTATCATATTTAAATCAATTTGTACTGATAAACTATCAAATTTAATACAGTGAAATGCAAAAAAAAATTTAATTGTAATGCTTCAAATTGAAATATAGACTGGTAAAAATTTAAACTGAACTAAAAATTTCAAATTAATAAAAAGTTCAGTTCATTTGAAATAGTTTTTATTATTATTAGATATCATTATACAGGTATATTTTAGTAAATTACTGAATATTTATTTTAAGAATCTTTTAAAAAAACTTAATTTTATTTATAAATTACCAATTTAAAATATTTTGTTAGATATTTATTGGAGAAAAAATGTTTATTATTAATAATAAAATTAATAAAGATATAAAAACTTAAATAATAATTGATTTTTAATAAAAAAATATTATATAATATTAACATATATTATTTAAAAAAACTTTAAATAGATAAAATAATAACAAAAATCATTTTTATTAGAATTTAATAATATATATATCAGCTAATAGATTTTTTAAATAAATCTCATATTAGAAATTTTTAGCTACTAAATTAAAGAAAGATTTAAATCACAAATTCTTAATTATTATAAGTAATAACAATTGAATTTATTGATTAAATAATCTATTATTATAATAATTTAGTTATTTTTTTTAAGTCTGTATATATAAGCAAATATATTTTAAAATATTTTATATATATTTTTTAATATAATATTTAATAATTATTTTTTTAATATTTAAAATTTATATTTTTTAAATATTAAATTATATGAAAATATAGTTATAAGAAAATTTAAACATTTTTAATATAACTTATATTAAAGTTTGTATAGACTTTATATATTAATTTTAATCAAAATTGTATTAATATTATACTCAATCTATCAAATATAGAGCAATAATAATTTAATAATAGTGAATAATATGTGAGAAACTACTAAGTTATTATAAAATAAGTTCTATTATAATTAACTTTAAGTTTATAATAATTTAGATGAGTAAAATAACTCTAAGAAATGTAAGAATATTAAATATCTTAATACATTAAAGGATTTTAATATATATATTTTAGAAAAAGATTCTATTATTGTAAAATTATATTTATAGCAATCCTTAAACTTGAATTCTAAGTTTTAACTTGTATTTTTAAGTTTTTACTATTATTTTTATTTTTTAATAAGAACAGTTTTCTATACTATTTATATAAAATTATTATTATAAGAAAATCATTACTAATATTATTTAAAATAAAATAATTTATAATTTAGAAAATAAGTAATAAAATAAAAGTTATAAAATATAATTTAACTAGATAACAAAAACTGCTGAAACTTTTAAAACTTGATATTTAATCAAATATAGTATAATACTTATTTAATAGATCATATGAGAGGATTGACATTACATACATATGCAAAGATTAGAACTGATTAATTTTTAACCAATTAATTAACTAGTTAAAATAGTTAATCTATTAACCAGTTAAAGATTTATTTAACTGGTTAAAATAAATAAATTTAAATTCAGTCAAAATTCAATTTCTGGCCAAAATTAAAATTTTTATAATTAACAAAATATTGTTTAATTCTGACCAAATTTATAATACTAGCCAAAGTTAATTTTAATCAGTTAATATATATCAAATATGTCATATCTGCCAAATAGGACACATATAACATTTATTATATTTTTATTATATTTAACATATATATTATTTATTTCATATTTAATATAATTAGCATATCTGTTAGTTCTATTATTATTGTCAATAGTATCATAAATACCATAGATTTTCTTTAATTATAATTTTCCTATATAAAGGGCATGAAAATGCTTTAGAAAAAAAGACAGATTAAAAAAAAAGATTTTAACAAGTTCTTAACATTGTATTTAATATACATTTAATAACAATAATAAACACTCTTAACATTTTGCAAACATAAAACTTATAATTTTATTCATATTAATTAAATAAACTCTCTAATAAACAGTGTGTCAAGTTGATTGGATTTGTTATAATTATTATCTCTATAATTCAAATCATAGTTAACTTATTCAATGGAAAAAGTAACGTTAACAAGTGATAATTCCTACCAAAATACTATTGATTTTATACATAATAGACTACTAATAGATTTAGCAAGGTTTAGAGTTCTGAATTAGGTCAGGTCAATAAGTCGAACTAACCTGACAAAATTCAGGTCAATCAATTATCATTCTTGAATGATATTTTATCGTTCAATTAGAATAATTCATTATTATTTGAGAATGATAGATTTATCATTCAAAAATAATGATTTTATTATTTCTGAATAATGGTTTTATCGTTTTTGAATAATATTTTATCGTTCAATTAGAATGATTTTTTATTATTCTAGAATGATATTTTTATTGT